TATTAAACTTACCATACATCCCACCCTCTTCTGCTAATAAGTAGTTTAGTGCTAGCCTGTTTTGATAAACTGCTGCGCGCATTTGGTTTTGTTGTGAGAGCATTTCTAGGGCTGAGGCGGTTTGGTTAGTGATTATCTCTAGAACAACTTGTAGTCTAATTGTTCTATTTAGCATATGTATGGGAGTGCAATAACCCCATGGACCATCCTCAGCCCAAGTGGCAGGGCCGTAATATTTGATGATCCGTTGTGGAGGCCACTTGTCCTCTTGTCATCTTTGGCTCCCTCCTACCTCCAAGGATCATTTTTCTCTGGTTAGGTTATCATACACAGGGACTCCGAGGGTGTTGCCCACCTGCTTTGGAGGTAAAAAAGAATCCAGGTTTAATTGTGCCTAGGAAGCAAGTACCTTGCCAGTGATAAGGTAGCCATGAGTATGCCTGGGTTCCACATATCCAAAAGTATCCATCAGGGGCAATCTGTTGTAGACTGGTGTTAATAGGATTGTCCCATAGTGCACTTAGGCTGGGGTATGCGGCATAAGGGTTAATGGTGTTGGTACAGTACCAGGCCTTTTTTGGCAAGACATAATTGAGGTAGCTTAAGTTAGAAGGAGACCAAGCTCCGTGGGGGTAATTTTGGCTACCACTCTGCTGTGGAGGCATTGACTGTTAGGGTTTGGTGACAGGGGCTTTCACCTATGGCGTGATGGGTTTTATTCCACCTGCGGGATATGCACATCGTCCCTGTTACTAGACGTGTCCAGGACTGTGGGCATTCCTGAGGAGTGAAAGTGAGGCTGGAGTTTTGGGATGCTAGTAAGTAAGGAGGAATAGAGTCTATTCCATACTGTGGCCACTGTTCACTCACATGGGCTCCCCCGCATACCCAGTGATTGCACACATTCATGGTAAGCGCGATGAGTTCTCCTAGATCTACAAACAGGTTCTTTCCTGGCTTAGGATGGGATATGTCTGCTTGTAGTTTTATATAAAGGGATGGAAATGCCACGGGTAATTTTGGAGGGAGGCTGTTGGCTTTTGTTTGGCTGTAATCTGTTCTCTCTTTATATCATCTAGCACTTGAGTGTTTGCTCCCCATTGTCCAATTTTGGTGAAGCAAAGCCACTGCTTACCTTTTGGACATGTAGTCCCATTACGACTGCCAGATACTCCTAGATTTTTTACTTTATAGTAACTTTTCCCTGACTCAACACATTCCTCGATTAAGATTCCATAACAGGATTTTTCTGTATGAGTATGGTAAGTAAAGGATTGTTGTATTTTTCCTCCGTAGTGGAAAGACTGATAGATAACACTCATGGCAGCTCGGAGGGGCTGCCGTGGACAGTAGGGCGGGTACTGATACTAGATGCAAGGCTTGTGTATCGGTTTGAACCCTGAGAGCGCACCAACAGACAGACAACACGAGGCGGTGTGGAGCAACACGATGTTGTAATGAGCGCCTGGGTGCAGATGGGGGGAGGCCTAAAATGGCGTCATCCCCACGTGAGGATGGGGGAGGGACTGTATAGTCCTCTGTAAACAGGAAGTGTCCCAGTCTGATGTGACCGCTGCATATACCCGTACGACCTCCCTCTGGATCTTCAGGGGGTGTGTGTCTTCCAGCCAGCTCTCTTCCTGCTTCTGCTATCTTGCTGACACACACTGCTGGAGCAAGTGGCCTTGCACCTTGGGACTGGGCCTGAGGAGGGAGGAATTATTCATTCCCTTAAGCTTTCAGGCCCTGGGGAGAATCTTTCTCCCAGCACTTTGAAAGGCTGAGGCAGGAGGATCACTTGAGACCAGGAGTTCAAGACCAGCCTGGCCAACATGGCAAAACCCTGTCTCCACTTAAAAAAAAAAAAAAAAAATTGGCGTGGTAGCGCCTGCCTGTAACCCCAGCTACTCCAGAGGCTGAGGCATGAGAATTGCTTGAACCCAGGTGGTGGAGGTTGCAGTGAGTCGAGATTATGCCACTGCAATCCAGCCTGAGTGACAGAGCGAGACTCTATCTTAAAAAAAAAAGAAAGAAAAAAGTGAATCCTTGGACCTTATTAGAAATTCCAATTCACAAATTTGGGGTAGGGTCCAGGGATCTGAATTTTTAAGAATTAACTCAAAGTATTTTCATTCAGATGCTTTGGGACCACCCCTCCCAAAACTGGCTTAGAGTGAGACATGTGTGTGGACATAATAGATCCATCTAGGAAGGTTAGTTAGAACTGGGTGGTCAAGGGGCTTGGAAGCCATGCTGACACATTTGTTTTGGGTACCTATAAAAATGTTAGAAATGTGATGTATTATAGGGATGTATTTGGAAATGTTTACACTAAAATGATATGATGTTTGGAATTTGCTTAAAAATAGCCTAGTTTGGGTAGGATGGCAAATGCAAAGAGAGCTTTGGTGGGAGAATGGATGGAAAAATTGGCTGTATGTCGATGATTGTTGAAGCTAGGTCATGGATTCCTGGTAATTTATGATGTTGCTTTTTCTACCTTTGTGTCCTTTTGAATATTTACGTAATAAAGTGTAAATTAAAAGGATAGGGGAAAATGGGGAAACAGAAAACAAGTTTCTCTGTGGTTTGTGCATGGCTTGTCAAGATGGCTTATTTATTGAAACTTCTCAGCTACCCCTCAAGTTTCTCATCTGTAAAATGGAATAATTATATATTATTGATAAGGATATTTTGGAGATTAACTGAGGTAATGTAAAGCACTTAACACAGTGCCTATTCCATCATTTTCCATAACAGAACTTATTTTTATTATTACTCAATTTTGGCAGGCAGTCGAGTGCTATCAAAGAGGTTTGAGCATAAGAGTGACATAAAGCTGTTTACAGAACCATAGAAGAAGAGTATTTCAGCTTATTGGAGTTGCTACACAATGAAATTAGAATTTCAGTATTAGAGTCAAGGAAACCAGCAAAACAGGTCATACCTGCTTCAGCCTCAAGGCTGAACTGGGAACATTTCTACTGGGAACCTGTAGGTACTGAGTCAGCCTTAGTGACAGGGGGCAGCTTTGTTGCCTGCCTGGATAAAGCCTGGAACCACATAAAGGGATAAGACCAGTGGGAACCAGCCAGGGATGTGCATTTTAAGGCCAGGGCAGTAGTAGAGGACACCTAGAGCCAAGAGAAGCAAATCTGAATGGGGACTGGCAAATACAGGGTTGACCTAGCTGGGCCAAATGATTGTGAGACCCAGTTATAAGGGGAAGGGGTTTGGCGAGACATCAGAACAGGTCTAGGAACTCTTACCAAAATACACAGGCTGTTCAGAGAAGGAGCTGAAGTCGGATCCAATTCTAGACTGGTGAGCTGAGAGTGCTGCTGGGGCAGGGAGCCATGATCAACTTCCAGAGGGACTGAACAGGGGCAGGAGCTGGGGTTGTGGGAGAAAAATAAAGCCAACCTCTTCGGAGGAATCAGCAGTATCACTGTGGAGGCAGGTTGCTTGATGAAGCCTGTGGACCCATGCTTTAATTCAGGACTCAGAATTCCTGCACAGCCACCTGGAGTGACCACTCCAGACAGACCTGGATCGTCATGATCTGCAGAAGACTAGGTGTCTTTCCTATGGTCTCAGAGGTTAGCCTCTGCTGTTAGCCTCTGCTACTTGACCAGAGATTCTCTTAAGCCTCATGTGGTTTTAGCTATAATGATCTGGTCTATTGAAACATGAGTAATAGTATGTTGTAAACATTTGTCTCCTTCCCATATCTGTACTTAAAAACAAAACAAAACAAAAAAACCTCAAAATGGCTGGGTGTGGTGGCTCCTGCCTGTAATCCCAGCACTTTGGGAGGCTGAGGAGGGCAGATCATGAGGTCAAGAGATCGAGACCATCCTGGCCAACATGGTGAAACCCCATCTCCACTAAAACTACAAAAATTAGCTGGGCGTGGTGGCACGTGCCTGTAGTCCCGGCTATATGGGAGGCTGAAGCAGGAGAATTGCCTGAACCTGGGAGGCTTAGGTTGCAGTGCGCTGAGATTGTGCCGTTGCACTCCAGCCTAGGCGACAGAGCAAGACTGTGTCTCAAAAAACAAGCAAACAAACAAATAAAGCCCTCAAAATACCACATGTGGAAAACATGGTTGCTTGTATATATGATGGTTGATCCTATTGCCTTAGAGCATAGTTACAAACTGTTGCCTATTTCTTATAAAGGCCCTCCCTCCCCTCTGCCCCCCATCCTGGTTAGTACTGTATAAGAAACATTTTAGACATCAGGTATTTGATGAAAACCTAAAGGATGTGTCCTAGTCTGAATTTGCTTGACTCTGAGATTAGATGGTTAACAAAGTTTAGAGAATGTAGGTTCTCATTCCTGATTTGTCTTCATCAAAATAAAACAAACACCAAAGATTTACTTTTATTAATTGACAATATAATTTTGGTGCATATTTTTGAGAAGATAAAATTAGTTTTAATTTTTCCAACTTCACTTTAGGCCTGTACTAACTTTTAATAAATAATATTAAACCACCAAGGGATTGTTAAAAATTTATAAAACATATTTATAATAGAAGAGTTTTCAGCAATAAAAAATAGTGATGTAGGTTGATATTGTTATGCAAAAATGGCTAGTATATATACCAAGTGAAAAAATTAGGTTTCAAAAGAGCATATATAGTTGAGTTCATTTTTGTCATAAAATGTGTGTGTTTACAGATTGAAAAACATTGAAAAACATTCTCTGATTTCTAGATATTTACTCTTTAAACCACACTCTAGATGTTTCCTCTTGTTACTTTGATCATCAACTTAAAAATGCTTATACATTTAATTTTGGAACCTGTAGGTATTTGTAGAGCGATGAGAATTTAGCAAAAGAGTTTCTTTATTATATATGACATATAACAGAAAAATTTCGTTGCAATATTTTTTGTTCCTGGTTATAAATATATCTTAATTCTTTATGCAGGGTAATTCATTAATATTGGTGGGAATTTCTATGCTGAAGCTAACTCTTTTCTTCTTCTACAGCTGGCCAAATTCCGCAGTCTCCTGTGCACAGCCGAGGGTGAAGCAGCAGCTTTTCTGGTGAGCAATCACCGCCCACCGCAACCTCTGAAGGGCCGCAAAGTGAGAGCCTCTTTCCGTTAAAAATTGTCACCAATGAACTCCCCCAAACATGACTGTGGAGAGACAATGAAACAAACCAAAACACAACACAGAAGTCTCTGCCAACAACTCCTTTGTAGAATTCTAATTTATAGGAACCATTTTACTATGAGCTTCAGTGTCACAAAGAACACCAGATCTCTCTCTCTCTCTTTTTGTAATTTTTTTAGTGATAGGGTCTCACTCTGTCACCCAGGCTGGAGTGCAGTGGTACCATCTTGGCTAATTGTAGCTACCAACTCCTGGACTCAAGTGATCCTCCCACCTCAGCCTCCAGAGTACGTAGGACCCAGCATGCCTGGCTAATTTTTTTTTTTTTTTTTTTTTTTTTAGAAATGGGGTCTTGCTATGTTGCCCAGGCTGGTCTCCAGCTCCTGGCCTCAAGTGAGCCTCCTGCCTTGGCCTCTCAAAGTGCTAGGATTTCAGGCCTGGGCCATCAAGCCCAGCTGGCTTAGATCTCTTTACTAACTTACTGTTTCATATTTGCACTCATGGATATTCACAGTAAGCATTGTTTGACGTATATTAAAAGCCATGAAATATGTCTACTTCAACCTGCATGAAAATATGGTTAACATTGCAAACTTCAGAATGTATTAAAAATTTTACCTGGCCATAGAGACTGAATTAGTCACAGCTCTCAGTGATGTTAGGTGGAAACTTACATCTGAAATGATAGGATTGTGATACTTTTTTTTGAAACAAGTGATTCTGCTTAATATTTTGTTGTTATTCCAATTCATAAAAAGTAGATTATGTTTTCCTATAAGGATAATTTTTGCAGTGATTATGTTGCTAACTCTCATTGCATGATACCTTTAATAAAATGCACAATATAAGAGTTAAGGGCAATGGGATAAAGCTACTTAATGTGTCTCCTCCACTGATCAAAAATATTCCTTATGGTCTTGGTGAGGAATTCCTCAGGGTATAAATGGCTATTTACACTGTAATGAATTATACCATATATAATATTCACTCAGTAATGTTAATAATGAACTGGCTAATAGCTGACAAAATGCAATGCCTGCCAGTTTATGACATTAACATGGTTTGAAACTAACATATAACATAGTACCAGTGCAGTCACAGCTGCCCTCAGGCATGATGAACACATTGCCCATTTTTGCCTGGTGTTTTGGCAGCAAAGCAGAACGCAATCTTGTGTGGGTCATTATTCTGTCAATTTGTGGAAAAAATTACTTCAGTCTCCTATAAATATATAATGGGTCCGTAAGCCCTTCAACCCATTTCCATGGCAAAACTCACTTTTCCTTTTATGCGTGTCCCTCCGTCTCTTAATTTTGTCAGGTGGAGCTTGATCTTAATTTTAACCTATTATCCTTTTTTTTGTTTGTTTTTGGTGGGGGATAAGAGTAGTGTTTCTTTTGCTCTTTCTGGTACAAACGGAGGGACACTAAGCATTAATTTAATAACCACATTTAAGACTTGAACACATGCTATACTTTTGTCATCCTCTAACATAAGTTTACCTGAGTTCCCTTGATTTTGATGATTTGTTTCTTATATCTCTCTTCCTCTGGATGTAGCTTTTTTTTTTTTTTTTGACTGAGTCTTACTCTGTCACTGAGGCTGAAGTATAATGGCATGATCTCGGCTCACTGCAACCTCCACCTCCCGGGTTCAAATGATTCTCCTGCCTCAGCCTCTTTAGTGGCTGGGATGACAGGCACATGCCACCACACCCGGCTAATTTTTGTGTTTTTAGTAGAGATGGGGGTTTGCAGTGTTGGCCAGGTTGGTCTCAAACTCCTGACCTCAAGTGATCTGCCTGCCTCAGCCTCTCAAATTGCTGGAATTACAGGCATAAGCCACCATGCCTGGCTTGAATGTAGATTTTAATAATTGACCTTATCCTGCAATGTTGATAGAGTAACTGAATATCAGTAAATTGTGTAACAGTGATGGATACTGTTGCATAAGGTGAGCTCCCTAAGAGTGAAGCTAATACTTTGGTCAATGTTCTTTCCCCCTTGGTGTCTAGTCTAAGGCTTTTAGAAGATTGATCTGTAGCGATTATTTAATGAATCAAATATTTAAAAAAAATTTATTTGCTGTCTTTGGTAATTATCTCTCTGGTTGAAATCAAATGTACTGTAAGTTAATATAACAAGTAAAATACATTCTCTTTTGAAAATAGTTTCTTTTTAAAGGGATACTAATTAATTGTAACTTGTAAAACTAAAAGTTCTAATGGTTTCTAAAAGCCAGTGTTGAGTGGAAAAGTGTTTCTTTAGTTTGGAAAGACCTGTGAAGTGTCCCAGTCAGAGAAAGAACCTGTTTTCTCGAAGAATGTAAGTTACTATATCTGGAGGGGCATGTAGGACAGGGGTTCTAATTACTGTCTGTGAGAGTTACTACTTTGTAACTTATAGTTTCTGCTGCAACTATATGTTGGTTCTGTATTATAAATTGCACCTTAATAGACCAAAAATATCTATACAGCACTGATTTCCTTGAATATTGTGTGTTAACTGATATATCTCCTAGAGGCAAAAGGTTTAAATGTGTGTTAAAATGGTTATATTGCTTCCTTTTTAAACAAATTAAAAAGTTGTAAATACTAGTGTAGATCTCTTTTGTTTACCACAGCAAATATTGATTTTATGATTGTTAAGCATTTCATATTTTACTTTAAATTGGATTCAACCACAATAAAGAAAATGAGACAAGCTTTCATTTTCACAAACTTGGCTTTATTATTAATCACTCAATCCATTCAAGAATAACTTGTCCATTTAGTTTTCATGTTTCCTTCATGTGTCCTTCAATTACCCGAGACTGGGTAATTTATAAAGAAAAAACGTTTAATGGACTCACAGTTCCCTGTGGCTGGAGAGACCTCACAATCATGGCAGAAGGCAAAAGGCACATCTTACATGGTGGTAGGCAAGAGAGAGAATGAAAATCAAGCAAAAGCGGTTTCCCCTTATAAAACCATCAGATCTCCTGAGACTTATTCACTACCAGGAGAACAGTATGGGGGAAACCGCCCTCCTGATTCAGTTACCTCCCACTGGGTCCCTCCCATAACACGGGGGAATTATGGGAGCTACAATTCAAGATGAGATTTGGGTGGGGACACAGCCAAACTATATCAGATGCTGTCTGCTAGATGTCTTTGTTGTAAAGTTATTATGTCCTTTGTAAATATTTGTTGGGAAGGGATTCTTTTAAGAGTATATAAATATTCTGTTCCTCATTAAACCTGTAATTTATTCATTTGTTTCCAGCATAGATTTAGAGATACCTGTGTTATTTAATAGGCTGTATTCTGTTATTATCATTGTTTATTCTGATGCTCAAATTTTTTGTTTTGCCCAGCAGGAGCACCTTCAAGCTGACTTGTGTCTCCTTTTGTCATGTCACCATGTACTTACTTTCTGGCAGCTCTCCTATGTTCCTGGCTCATTTTATACTTTTCTTTCCCCAGCCCTAGAACCAAGTAGCCCTGATTTCTCTTAGTAGAAAATAGTATTGAGAAAACCAAGATTTGGGTGAGCTCATTGCTATTGGAATGTTGCTACTCGGAGGCCCTCTTGATAAACAGTGGTTAAGAATGTATACGCACAGATAAATATCTACATGTCTATACTTATTTACATTAAAACATGATTTCACACTCATATCTCCAATTCTAATCCAGCACTACACTGTTCATTCTAGTTTTCTCCATTTCTATATTTGTAATTTCCTTCTCCAACAGTGAGAAACCTGGCTTCCATTATCCCCAACATAGTTTCTGATTTGGCTCATTCTTCTGTGTATAGCAAATACCCCATTACTACTTCACCGCTCACCCTCACACTGCACAGATGCCTGTCTCACTCAGCTTGGGTTCTGGCATCCTGGGCTAGACTGCGTTGTCCCTCCTGTCATCATGCAGTGTCCACCTTGCTTGGCTCTATCTTATAGACATTGGACTAAATTTTCAGGAAGGGAACAGAAAGGAAGGGGAGGAGAGGGGGAGGGGAGGGCATGGGGGGGGTAGGGAAGGGGAGGGGTAGGGGAGAGGAGGGAAGGTTGGGGTAAGAGTAAGATTATGCTTTGAAATATTTGCTGAGCTGTTCATAGGGAAGTCCTTTTTTGTTTTTCTAACATAAAGTTAGTAGCTTTACTTATACACATTCTATCAAAAATGGTATGGGAATGGGATATTTTTTGAAAGGCTTTCAGTACCTTCTGAGTGGGGCTGCAGAAAATGTAGGTCAAGAAATAGTGGTCTTATTTGAGAGGATGGGAAGGCATCCTGGCCCTCAGATAACTACCTCACCAAGCTCTTTCACATTTTACTGAAGAAGACTAAATCCTTTACGTTAAGGTTTCAATACCCATTGAAATGCAAACTCCACTCAGGATAATTTTCCAAGTTACCAGCAGTGATATGCACTTGAGTGTAACTGATCTTCATATGTCAAGTTTTGGTAGGACGGAAGACTCTGACAGAAGGAAAGTTAGCTTAATACAAGAGTGAATGATCTGAGTGTTTGGATAACCAAGGTGGACTTGAACCACTTCACAGTTTTGCCTGTATGCTTACTGTACCCTAACACCTTGCACCATGACTGATGTATAGTAAATACTCAATTTTGGTGAATAGAAATCACTCTTTCTTGAGTCGAATTAATTGGCGATTTTTCTGGTGTGGCTGGAAACCTGCCTTTCCCTTCCTAAAGAGAAATTATACCAAGCAAGGACCCCCGTCTCTGTCATGGGCTGACAGCAGTCTTTCTTCCTGAAGATCTTCAGCATTTTCTTGCTTCACCACTCCTGCCAGAATAAGTTACCCAGCGGAAGAAAGTGGGTACATTAAACTTCCTTGTTTCAAATGAGTTTGCTTCCAATATAGCTCTTCTGGGTGAAGAGAATGGTCAGTTTATCTTAGCTGTGCTCAGAGAGTGAGAGTTGCAGAAACTGTGTGGGTTTGTGTCTCAATGAGATCAGATGAACCATAACTTAGCCCTAAGTTATTTATGGAAGATATGACTTAGGAAAAATATGTTACACAAAGATTTTGTATTTTAACAAGGACTCCTGGAAATAACTGTGTTATGGAGGAGATACATAACTGTATTATGTGTCTAAAGGCTCCAGACACAAACACATAATTAAATGATACTGGCATTAAAAAAAATAGATGGCATAGTATCAGTCAGGTTCCAGAAAGAAGACAGAAACCACTCAGTATTCCAAACAGAGGGTGTAAATACTTGGGATTAATTATACAAGTGATGAAAGATGCTGAGAAACCAAACAGAGGACAGTGAGGCAACCAAGAGATTAGCAAGAGCAGGAGGCTCCCGCCTTCCACAGGAGGAGGCAGTGTTCTTGGAGCCCAGGAGCTGTGGAACAGCTGAGTTGAAATGAAAGTATGCCTGAGTGGTAGGATCTGGTTATTTTTTAAAAAAAAAAACACAGTTATTATCTAAGATCTTACTTGAGGCAGAGAGGAGGGGAGAAATACTCTGGGTTCTCTCTTTGTTGTATCCACTAAATTTCCACTAGTACCCGTAGATGGAACCTCGCCAGAAGCCAGACACATGAAAGGCCATCCACTTTGTGATACAGAGATTAGTGGAAAGGTCTAGGATTGAATCTGAGACCATATGGGCTTAAGACCAGCCAAGACACCGGCACTGAGAACCTCCATTATTAGGTCAGACAAAAGACTATGATGCTAGGGTGGAAGCCTCCAGAGAGAGAAAACCAATGTTATACTTCTCTCCCATTCTGTAAATTTAATTTGACCACCATTTATTGGACATGTTAGATGCTAAATGTAATGCTAGGGATTCGAGATATAAAGATGATTAAGATGTTATTCCTGCTCTTAAACAGCTCAAACTTCCACGGCACGTATAAAAACAAAATGCCTCAATACAAAATATTAGTTTTCTTAATTTTAGGCATCTATAGAGTGCTGTGGGAATGTGGAGAAAATGAAGAAATTATTAGTTCTGGAAAAATTAACAAAAAGCATGAAGATTTCCAAGTGTGGTATATTTGGAAATTGAGTTCTTTGGTTCCCTGTGTGGTTTGGTACCTAGTGTCTGGGGACAGGGAGATGTATCAATGAGGACTCTTTTGTTTAAGAATAATAGGAACTTAGCTCAAAATAGCCAAGACAAATAATATAATTTATTTATTTATTCATTTAGAGAAGGGTCTTGCTTTGCCACCCAGGCTGGAGTGCAGTGACTCAAACATGGCTCCCTGCAGCCTCAAATTCCTGGGCTCAAGTGATCCTCCCTCTCAGCCTCCGAAGTAGCTGGGACTACAGATGTATACCACCATGCCTGGCTAATTTTTTTCTGATAGAGATGGGGTCTTGCTATGTTATCCAGACTGGTCTTGAACTCCTGGCCTCAAGCAGTCCTCCTGAATTGGCCTCCCAAAATGCTGGGATTACAGGTGTGAGCCACCACGCCCGACCAATAATGGAATTTATTGATTCACACAATCAAAAAGTCCAGAGGTAAAGCTGGCTTTCATCATGGCAAAGCCAGGACCTGCAATCAGGCCTCAGTCTCTCTACTTCTTGGCTGCCCCCCAACTTCTGTGGGCTCTGTTAGCAGTGAGACTTTCCCCTCGTGTTGGCAGATGAATGCCTGCACCTCTGTACCTATACCACCTTCTATAAGACAGCTTCTAGAAGGTAAAGGAGGGCTTTTATGTCCAAAGACTTCAAAAAGTGTCTGACTTGAATTCTGACTGACCTGGATGGAGTCACATGCCCATTCTTCATCAAGTCCTCATGGCAAATGGAGAGAACATTGGCTCAGGGCAGCAGCGGGAGTCAGCTTCTTTCATAACTGAGCAGACTAAGAGTGGTGGGGTTCAGGGGGACACTGCAGTGAAAGAAAATGGGGGCTAGGACCCAAAGGTTGGGAAAATATTCTGCACAGCAAAAGCAACAAATATCTATTTAGACCTGAAAAAGTGGCTCAAATAGGACAGAAAAGAATAAAATTCATAAGGTAATTCAGAGTTTCCAGGAGATAACTGTCATTCAATTAAGAGATGTTTCTCAAGCCAAAAGTAGAGTCAGCATTTCAATAAGGCATAAGATTTAAATTTTTTTTCTTGCTAATGCTTTGATAAAGTGATTAACTGGCATGAGGAAGAATAGGGACTGTCAGACCTGGGAACTAAACCTGGAATTGCAAACTTGGCATTTCAGCGGGACAGAGCTACTGGGTGACCCAATCTTGTTGGTGCCCCATGTGGGACTCACATGTGGACACTGGGTTCTGAGCATTGTGGCCTGTCTCTTGCTGGCCTCTCTGAAGTTCCAAGAAGGCAGAGACGTGTCTGTTAGATTTTATCCTCTTCTCTCTTAGCCTTCTTTGAACTTGTCTAGCAACCAGCACGGAATGATCATGCCTTCTATTCACAGTGCCTTGTCCTGGCAGATGGTTCAAGAAGTACTTGTTGAAAACCCTGATGAATGAACACATGGATAAGCACTCTGATCACGTGTAAAATTAGCATATCCTGCAACCTATTCTGCCTCAATAAATAGCAAGTGTCCATAGATTATTCACCTAAAAACTCAAGCAATTAATTCCCCCAGGACATGCCAGTTTTTCAATTGTGAAATTACTCCAAGATGTGGCAGGGTAGATTACATTGTGACAAAATAGGTAATCTCTCTCCCCACGATGATCTCGGTTTTCT